GAGTGTCCCACAAGAGTGTCCCACAAGAGTGTCCCACAAGAGTGTCCTACAAGAGTGTCCTACAAGAGTGTCCCACAAGAGTGTCCCACAAGAGTGTCCTACAAGAGTGTCCCTTAAGAGTGTCCTACAAGAGTGTCGTGTAAGAGTGTCCCACAAGAGTGTGTCCTGCAAGTGACCCACAAGAGTGTCCTACAAGAGTGTCTCACAAGAGTGTCCCACAAGAGTGTCCTACAAGAGTGTCCCACAAGACTGTCCCACAAGAGTGTCCCGCAACAGTGTCGCTCAAGAGTGTCGTGTAAGAGTGTCCCTTAAGAGTGTCCTACAAGAGTGTCGTGTAAGAGTGTCCCACAAGAGTGTCCTGCAAGTGACCCACAAGAGTGTCCTACAAGAGTGTCCCACAAGAGTTTCCCACGAGAGTGTCCTACAAGAGTGTCCCACAAGAGTTTCCAACAAGAGTGTCCCACAAGAGTGTCCTACAAGAGTGTCTCACAAGAGTGTCCCACAAGAGTGAAGAGTGTCCCACAAGAGTGTCCCATAAGAGTGTCCCACAAGAGTGTCCCGCAACAGTGTCCCACTAGAGTGTCTCACAAGAGTGTCCCTTAAGAGTGTCCTAAAGGAGTATCCCACAAGAGTGTCCTACAAGAGTGTCCCACAAGAGTGTCCCACAAGAGTGTCCTACAAGACTGTCCCACAAGAGTGTCCTACAAGAGTGTCCCACAAGAGTGTCCCACAAGAGTGTCCCACAGAGTGTCCCACAAGAGTGACCCACAAGAGTGTCCTACAAGAGTGTCCTACAAGAGTGTCCCACAAGAGTGTCCCACAAGAGTGTCCCACAAGAGTGTCCCACAAGACTGTCCCACAAGAGTGTCCTACAAGAGTGTCCCACAAGAGTGTCCCACAAAAATGTCCCACAAGAGTGTCCCGCAACAGTGTCGCTCAAGAGTGTCTCACAAGAGTGTCCCTTAAGAGTGTCCGACAAGAGTATCCCACAAGAGTGTCCTACAAGAGTGTCCCACAAGAGTTTCCTACAAGAGTGTCCCACAAGAGTGTCCTATAAGAGTGTCCCACAAGAGTGTCTCACAAGAGTGTCCCACAAGAGTGTCCTACAAGAGTGTCCCATAAGAGTGTCCTACAAGAGTGTCCCACAAGTGTCTCACAAGAGTGTCCTACAAGAGTGTCCCACATGGGTGACCTACAAGAG